TCGGTACCAACTCATAGCGACCTTATGCACAGCAGAACGAAACACTGCCTGATCCTGGGCCAACCTCACAATTGTTGCCACGCTTGATTCCATTGATGCTGCCACTTTGCCAATCCATCTCGTTGGAGGTCTTCCTCTTTTTCTCTGACCCTCCACCTTACCAAACATGATATCCTTTTCCAGCAACTGGTCCCGCCTGACAATATGTCTGAAGTATGAGAGACAAAGTTTGGCCATTCTGGCCTCCAAGTAGCACTCTGGCTGCACTTCTTCCAACACAGATCTGTTGGTTCTTTTGGCAGCCCATGGCACTTTCAGTATTCTTCTCCAACACCATAACTTAAATACCATCATCTGTACACATTCTTAAATTTTTTTGATGTTCTTAGAAATGGGTGTGTGCTCCTACCACCTATGACACAAAAATTCCCCAACAACTTTGGGTTACTTAGAGATCCCCTGATGTGTATCCAAAGGCCATTTGACAATGGATGGCATGGCACATATCACATTGTGTCAGTGTTCTTGGTGTGTCCTTAAACTGAGAGCTCAAGGAGTACAATGACTCTTCATCACTGGTCTCCAAGGCCTTATTTGAGATCTGGTACAATAAGTATTGGAATGAACACATGGCTTCCATTGGCTTCTGTTAAGTTAGATAGAGAAAACCAACTTTGCAGCAGAAATCCCAACCCCAAAACCTACTACCGTTGAGTCAACTTTGACTCACAACTATCCTCTAGGACAGAGTAGAGCTGCTGCTTAGGGTTTCTGAGACTTTAAATCTTTGTGAGACCAGACAGACTCATCTTTCTCACATGGAGTGGTTGGTGGGTTTGAACCCTGATTATCAGCCCAACACTTAACTCACGGTAACCACAATGGCTCCTTCAGGAAACCCAGCAGGTACAATAATTGCAAGAATGAATTTGCCCAATGTTTGGGCAAGTCAAAAAAGAATGGAAATATATGCTTGATGCTTGTTTTATAATTCTCATTTTAGGATGAAGCTGTTACATCAAGTGTCACGAGTCTGGAAAACAGATGGGTTAACTAGTTGTTCTTATAAATTACTGTCTGTGGAGCACAATCCTTTATATATCAACATCACAGTGGATTTCTGGACTGATCCATGATCTAGGATCTTTTAATGGTGCTCAGAAGAACAATATTTGATTGCAATAATTTTGACCTAGTGACTTCCCCAAGTAGCCCCCATTAAGAACTTGTTGCAACTAATTATTGGGCTGACTTTCCCCTTTTTGTATTTCCTCAGTAGAGCTCTTGTGATAACAGAATGTGAAATCATTGTAACAAGACAACTTTCTTAGTTGTTTTGATCATGAGGATTATATATTGTAATATAGACACTTGAAGAACTAAATACAAAAGGACTACTCAGTGGCTATAATGAAGGCCAGTTGAGAACTCTAGTTGAATGAGATTTGTTTACATTTTAAGTGACACTTTATGGGATATACGCCTTAGGAATTAACATGGCTGAATGTCCCAGAGAAACCAGAATCGTTTTTGTCCAAGACATAAAGGTACGAAGAGAGATTTCTGTTACTCATTTATTCTGCTTGGTCATTTGATGGGTCCTGGGTGACATGAAGATCACAGAAGAGAAGAGGCAAGGTGAAGAATCAAGCTGTAATGAAGAATGAAAAAGTGGCAGGAGGACAGAGTACTAGACAAAGAGATGTCAGTGATTGTGCTGGTTAAGTAGCTGCTGCCTTAACTCTGCATTGGGTATCGTCCTCCTAGTTATGCCTTCCAGTAAGAGCCCAGCACATTATCTACTAGTTTTTTAAGCATTTTTGTAAAATGATTTTGTACATGTAGAATATGAATTAGCACTTTACAAATTATGTATTAACTAATAATACACCTCAAGTACCTCTGTAATAAAATAAGAAAAAGCTTTAGATATGCCATCTTGTTTTACTGTTGTTTGAGAGCAATGGAGGCATTCATTTCACTATCCATAAATCTCAGTAGTATGACAACAAAATCGATCCCCTTCCACTCCCTCTTTTTTTCATACTCTTCATCTCCCCTGTGCTGTGTGCACTTTATGTACAAGCATACATTAGATGCCTCTGTCCCTGGTCCTCACCAGGTATCTATTGTGCCCCCTCTTGACTGTTGATGGGTGAGGTAGGACTGGCTTAATGGACAGATCTGATTGGCAATGGAACACGAATGGGTGGTTCTGGCCCTTTGAGAGTCAAGGGCAGAAAATCCAGTTGCCAGGTTTGGGGAACCTTTGATTTGAAAAGAAGGTAGACCCATGGCATTGCCTTGGGCATGATCTGGCAAAGAAGCCGGTAGTACTGCTGACCTTCCTGAGGAGAGGTAAAGGTATTGTTTTTGTTGTTGTTGTTGTTAGGTGCCAACTCATAGGGACCTTAAGCACAGCAGAACAAAACACTGCCCGATCCTGGGCCAACATCACAATTGTTGCCACGCTTGAACCCATCCATGTTGCCACTTTGCCAATCCATCTCGCTGGGGGTCTTCCTCTTATTCTCTGACTCTTCACCTTATCAAACATGATGTCCTTCTCCAGTAACTGATCCCTCCTGATAATATGTCCAAAATATGAGAGATGAAGTTTGGCCATCTTGGCCTTCAAGGAGTACTCTGGCTGCACTTCTTCCAAAATGGATATATTGGTTCTTTTGGCAGCCCAAGGCACTTTCAACATTCCCCTCCAACACCATAACTCAAAAGCATCAATTCTTCTATGGTCTTCTGTATTTACTGTCCAGCTTTCGCCTGCAATATGAGGTTATTGAAAATACCATGGCTTGGGTCAGGTGCACCTTAGTCTTCAAGCTGACATCTTTGCTCTTCAACACTTTAAAAAGGTCTTGTGCACCAGATTGGCATAATGCAATAATACTTCATTTGATTTCTTAACTGCTGCTTCCTTGAGTGTTGATAGTTGATCCAAGAAGAATGAAGTTCTTGACAACTTCAGTTTT